CATCGGGCGCCCAGCTCATGCAGGAGCTCGGGGTGGTCGGCGAGGAAGGCGTTGAGGGTGTCCTGTGCAGATAATGATAATAATTATCTATTTACTTATCTATTGTATTTTATTTATTTATTTATTTATTTTGTTTTTATTTTATTTTTTTATTTATTGTATTTTATTTATTTATCTATTTATTTTATTTTATCTATTTATTCATTTTTATTTTATCATTATTATTATTGTTTTTTTTGAGGTGTGTGAAATAAAAACGGGTTTCATGGTCTTTCTAAATAAATATGTCAGGGCTGGATAACTATATATGCGAGTGCTATTTTACGTATGCTACCTGAATCTCGAAATATCCAGAGTATATTTTAATATAGTAAATCTAACTAATCATTCCAAATTACCCCCCTCCCCTCAAAAAAAATATATTTATATGTGTATTTATTAATTCATACATACATTATATATATACATATATATATATATATATATATATATATATATATATATATATATATATATATATACGTGTGTGTGTGTGTGTGTGTGTGTATTTATATATGCATGTATGTATGTATGTATGTATGTAAACACACACACACACACACACACACACACACACACACACACACACACACACACACACACACACACACACACACAAATACACACACACACACACACACACACACATATATATGTGTGTGTGTGTGTGTGTGTGTGTGTGTATATACATATATATATATATATATATATATATATATATATATATATATATATATATATATATATATCACAAGCATTGGATTTAAACGCATTACCTGGTCGTGATGGTTTGCAAAGCTGTTCTTGTAGTGGAGGATCGTCTGCGCAAAGTTCCCGTGCTGCCCCCTGTAGGCACGCAGGGCTTTGAAATTCATGACCATCATGCCGGCGCTCAAGCCTACTGTCCCTGCGTAACGTCGGTGCTAAGATACGATGAAGAGATACGAGAAAATAAAACAAATTAGCTGTTAAGAATATAATTTTTAATGCTTGTGTATTCGATTTAAGATCTCTTGTCTTCGTTGTTTTCAACTGAATTAGGTTTTAAGCCACACTGTTAGACTTGATTAGATCACATACATATATCTTTCTTGTTATAACAAAAAAAAATGATATAGTTCTTGTGCACATTCTTGTTCTTTTTATTATCATTATTATCCATTCATCCAACTATCTCTACTTTTTGTCTGTCTATCTTTATCACATATTTTCTTTCATTTACTTCATACCTTACCTACATACAGTATATTACAATACCCCCCCCCCAAAAAAAAAAAAATAAATAAATAAAATAAATAAATAAATAAATAAATAAATAAATAAATAAATAAATAAAATAAATAAAATAAATAAAATAAATAAATAAGTGAAATACATAAAATGAATAAATAAAAAAATAAATAAAACAAAATAAAATAAAAACAACAAAATCACGAAACTTCAATCACAAAAACAAGACGCCAACGAGACCCTAAACACAACAATACCTTATGCCTATCGTACAGCGGATCGGGCCCTAACGCCAGCGCTTGGGGCGGCTCCAACTCGTCGAGAATATCCCACAGGCCTTCTGCAGGAGCGAGGAACAGGATATCGGTATCCACGTACACGGCGGCGTCCACGAAGGGCAGCGTCTCTAGCAGGAACAGCTTGGACCAAGAACACGGGCGCCATCTTTCTAACAGCAGGGGATCGGCTTCCGAAGGGGGTGTCCACAGCTCCGCCCGCTCGAAGAGGAGGCGAGACCGGTAACTGCGAGGAGAGGAGGGAGACGATGATGATGATGATGGGCGGAGAAGAGGGATGATAATAAGGATGAGAAGGATAAGGGTGGTGATGGTGGTGATGGTGGGAGTGATGGTGATGATGATGGTGGTGGTGATGGTGAATGTTGGTGATGGTGAATAGTGATGGTGATATGATAGTGGTGATATGATGATGATGATGATGATGAGAAGGATAAGGATCATAATAAAGAGGAGATGGATAATGATGATGATGATGGTAAAAAATGTTAATATAGTGAGGATGATAATAACAACAACAATGACGATGATGGTGATGATGATGACGACGAAAGTAATATTTATTCTTATTATATCAATAATAATCACAATAACAACAACAACAATAATAACAATAATAATAATAATAATAATGACAATAATAATAACAATAATAATAATGATGATAATAGTGATTTTGATGATGATGATGATAATAATGATTACTTTACTATGAATATTATTATTAACATAATTAATTATTTGATTATCACTATTTTCTTTTTCCTTATCATTATTATCATCTTATTTATCATCATTCTTGTTATTGTTATCATCATCAGCATTATTATCATTATCATTTTCTTATTATTTAATTATTATCCTTGTTGTTCTTATTACTATCATTATCATCGTTATTGTAATTCTTTTCACTATCATTATTGCTACTATTACTA